TCTAACTCTCTATCCCTCTCCCTTCCTCTCTGTAAAAAATCAATAAAATATATTTTTTTAAAAAAGTAGTAGGCCAAACAATTTCTAATGCTGGGAATAAATAGTTTGTGTTCCAATCATCCAGAGTAGAGGAATCTTGTAATAAACACTTTGTTCCTATCAGTCAAAATAAAAACAGGGGAGCCTGGCCAGTGAATATTACTCTTCCTCTCTCCCCCCCCTCCCCCTCTCCCTGCCAGCATGCTAGCTGTAAGGGAGCTGAATTTATTGCTTGGTGGCTCAAGCTTCTGGTGTGTATGCTCCAGCAAGCAAAGTGAAAGCTGCTTCATCTTTTAAGACCCATCCCCTGGAATCATGAATTGTCACTTCCACCTGTTCTGTTGGTTATATGTGAGTCACTGACTTGGCCCAGATTCAAGGACAGGGAACATAGCTTCTACCTCTTGATGGAAGAAGTATAAAACAATTTGAAGATACGTTTTAAAAATGCATAAAATGGTGTAGTCTAGTACCAAATCTAATAACGACGTACTTTCAAAGTAGTGATGAGTATAAATGATATTTTGAAACATCTTAACAACTATAATTTGATACACAATAATCTATGATTTCTATTGGTGATTCTATATGGATACTGTAAACACAGTTATTAATACTACAGTAGTGCTAATAGGTACTGCTAGCAAACTATAATTTGTTGTCTGCATTTGTAAGTAAATGAAATGCTCAATTTCATTTAGAGGCTAGGGGAATAAAGAGATAACTATAACTAGGGGCATATAAAAGCAACATTTAGAGTCTATATGAAGTTAGAGAGTATGAATATGTAGGTAGAGACATAAATGTATGATGTGAAAATTTCAATTCCTCTTCTAGTGTTAAGGTGTCCTTATGAGGGACAAATAACTGGATTAATTCAAGGTAGAGGAATTGTCAATCAGGTGCATCAGAAGGGACAACGGACTTTAGAATTTTGTCAAGAAAGTCACTGGATGGTAAGAGTTATGAAAGAAGATGCCATGTTGGTTTGGCTTACTATAGCATTCCCATACTGTTAGTTGAGTAGTTGGAATGGTTAAACTTGTATGTCTCCCTCTGCTGGCTTCTTAGCTGTATTGCTCTTCAAAGCTCTGCCTAATATCCCAAATAAGGGTTCTCTCATGGAATCCCTGGAATATTTAGAATTGTTCATATTGTTCTATAAAGAAGCTCGCCCCTCAATTCAGAGCATCCCCATCAAAGCCATCAGTATCTTCTCTTACTATTGCCAATAATGGCTAATATAGAGAAGACAAAACATGTAGATACTAATGGCTTGACTCCTAATTTTCCTAGAGAGTAATTAGAAAGAAATGAGATATATGTAAACACTGCATTTTTGAATTAGAAGGCTTGGTTACGAGTCTTGGCTTTCCTTATTTCTTACTGGTTGTGCAAACTTTAGGAACTATTGCTTTTATATTGGTTGTGTAACATTACCATTCTAAGTTTAATCAACCTCTGAAGCTATGCAACAGAATTCTGGCTACTTTCCTAATTCTAATATTTTGTTATTCTAAGTGCTGTTGAATTACAAAAAAAATAATGATTTATTTCTGCTGTTTCTTTATACCATTTGGATCATTTTCAGACATGAGCAAAATGGCTAAAACCATTCCTGTTATCATCACCTTCCTTCCTTGATATTGTGCCAAACACACTGTGGACACCCAAATGAATTTTAATTGATAATTATTATGATGGCAAAAAAATCCCTGGGCTGGGGAGTGTTGGGGAGGGGGGGAGGTAAGAGATCAACCGAAGGACTTGTATGCATGCATATAAGCATAACCAATGGATACTGGGGGGATGGGGTGAGGACATGTGCTGGGGAGTAGGGGAGGTTTTAATTTGAGCCAAATTCTCTCCTGGTTATATGGCCAGTATTTTGAGTAGCAGCTGTGAACAGATCTGTATTTCCTTCCCCATGCCACCCCCACAACAGTCTGAAATGTTTGCTTCAAATGAGAAATACCCAAAGCCAAAAATGCAGTTTCAATCTGTCTTACTGCCCAGTCACTAGTTAAATTCTCTATATCACATTTCTTTAGATCAGTTGACTCTTAAATGCTATTGCAAGAAATGAGGATACAAAGTGGTGGGAGGGAAGACAGGAAATACAGGATCAAATAACAACTCCACTTCTTCTCAGTGTTATATCCATCGTTCAAGATTAAAATATAGCATGTCATGAAGTGTGAGCTGATTATTCCAGTGTTCCCAGATATAATAGATGTCCATAAATAGTAGCAAGAATAACTATAGCTACCAGTTATTGAGAGCTTACTATATGCCATACATATGCATATATGAAGGAGGTGTATACATACTAGTATATATTGAAGGATATTGTGATCTCCAATAAAAAAATTTATAGTAGGTTTTCGTCACCTTTCCTGACAGAGGACTCCTAAAATCCTTGGAATTTCCCAAGAGATAAGAATGATAAAGGTGTCTTTGTTATTCATAAAAAGACCTTTACAACAATACCAGAGTTTATGTTAGTGAGGAGACTATTAAAATGCCCCAAATGATGGTTGCCAGGGGAACCAACCATGTGATTAGAGGGGTGGAACCTAGGCCCCACCTCACCTCTGAGAGGGGAAGGGGGCAAGAGATTGAGCTCATTCAATAATGGCCGAGGACTTAATCAATCATGCTTACTTAATGAAGCCTGATAAAACCCAAAGGGATGGGGTTTAGAGAGCCCATCAGGTAAGTGAACACATGTAAGGTTCCAGGAAAAGTGCTGTACCCTAGAGAGGGCATGGAAGGCTTTGCACCTCTTCCCACATATCTTGTCCAGTGTGTTAGGGTCACCAAAGGAGGAATGCAGGAGGCCAAAGTGGTAAGGGATTATAAATGTATTAGAGGCCCAGTACACGAAATTCATGTGGGCGGAGGGTCGGGGGGAGGTCCCTCAGCCCGGCCTACACCCTCTTGCAATCTGGGACCCCTTGGGGGATGTCCAACTGCTGGTTTAGTCCCTGCGGGATCCCTCTCACATTCTGGGACCGCTGGCTCCTAACTGCTTGTCTGCCTGCCTGCCTGATTGCCTCTAACTGCCTCTGCCTTGGCCCCTGCACCTGGGACCTGGGCTTCCCTCCCTCTGGCTGGCTGCAGGCAACTGGGACTGCGGGTGGCTTCCCCCAGGCTGGGCCCCGGCTTTGTCAGGAAGGACGTCTGGAAGGACGTCTATCCATTCTAATTAACATTACCCTTTTATTAGTATAGATTAGGTCATCTGGAAGTCAGATGGGCTGAGCCCCAAAATGGCTCTAGCACCCAGGGACAGGGAGTTTGAGATTTTAAAGGACTCTAGGCGGACTTTATCTGGGTGGGGAATTCTCTCACAGGTCCTGAGGGGAAAGATAATGATCTTAGCAAGTGGAATGTGGTCTAAGCAAAAGGGTATGTCAGAAAGGTGGGGGGTGGGAGAATGGGAGATATCTGTAATACTATCGACAATAAAAAAACATTAAAAAAAAGGGAATGTCGGTTGTAAAGTGGTCTAAAGGTCAGTTTTCAGGGGCGGGAGTATGGATTCAATTATTTGATCTGACCTAACATTGTGCATCAGTTACATCAGTCTGTTTTTGAGTTATATACTTTTCTAATAAACCAGTAATCTAGTAAGTAAAATATTTTCCTGAATTCTTTGAGCTGCTTTCGTAATTCTGACAAATTTCCATGGGTCAGAAGCATATGTAACAACCTGGACATATGATTGGAGTCTGAAGTGCAGAAGGGGCATTCTTATAGGACAGAACCCTCAGCCTTTGGGATCTGAGGCTCTCTCCAGGTAGTGTCAGAATTCAGTTAATATAGTAGGACACCCAGTTGGTGTCAGAACTGTTTGGTGTGTGGAAAACCTACACATCTGGTGTCAGAAGTAAAGGATTATGTAGTGTAAAGGAAAACACAGGAGGAAGTGTGTTTTGGTTTTTTTTTTCATTCCCACGAGGCAGTAATGCAAAGAACACAGACATCCAACCCAGTAAGGGAAACCTGGAGTGCTTCCTGGAGGAGGGCCACCTGAGCTAAGTCATAAAGGTTGAATAGGGATGT